CAACAGAGTGAGGTGTGGCCCTCTACCCACTGGCTCTCTGGGGATCCTTAGCAAGGGAGGGTGGGGGAAATGACTCCTCCCCACCTGCAGGCTTGAGTAGCAGCCCTGGAGAACCTTGTTCATGTTGGTTTCTAGCCCCAAACTTACTTCATGGGCCCCACCCAGAGCCATCCCTTGTGTGTCTTGGGTTGTCCTGTTCTGGAGAAGGTAGAGTGGCTACTGGGTGGGTTGGAAGACCACATCCCGGGTCTCAGCAGTTGTCGCTTACTCCCTGCCCCATTCACCTTCACTTCTTTATCGCTCCCTTGCGGAATGAGGGCAGAATGCTCAGGAAGAGAGACTGTAATGAAAAGGAATGAGACCCCTTTATCTTCCTTCTGAGCCTGGGGGGTTGTTTCTGGGAGAGTCTTTTAGGGTTGCTGTGGGCTTCTGCCTGAGGCTGCTCTCACACCTGGAGTCTCCACTCTGTGGTGGCCTCTTCTCCTGCCATTTGCATAAGAAATCTGATTAACCTGAGTTTTTATTAATCACTGAGGGGAGTCTGGGAGAAAGCCAGCAGCCCAGTATGGATAACTGGCTGGCTTTCAGGTGAGCACGGGTGTGGGGATTGCTTGGTTCCTTCAGCTAGCACAAGCATAGGCTGGGGTGCTCTTGGGTGGCTCTGTTACTGCATTGCTGGCTCTGACTTGTTCAAATTCCAACACTGCTGTGTTCCACCTCCTGCACTCCTAACTGGGAAGTTAGTGGATAAAACAATGTGCTTCCCACTGCTGTTAGAGCAGCAAATTGTAGCTTCTCAGAATGGAAGGGGAGTTGCATTGGATGGAGTCATTTGAGGGCATTGGCTGGACTTTGGGTGTCCTCATAACCCTCTGCCCTCCTAATTAGTGCTGGGGAAAGCCTCAGGAAGGAGGTGTGGAGATGCTGGGTCAAAAACAAGTAACAAAGTACTGGACTAGAGTTTGTTCTGCTTCATAGCCATTCTTGTGGGCAGGCTCTCTCCTGTCTTCTTTTCTCTGGTCTTACTTTTATTGATTTGCCCTTTAAGGGTAAGCTCTGGGTGCCCCAGTTCCCGTAAGGATGCTGAGAATGACCCTGGAGCCCCAGAGGAGCGTGGGATGGCAGCCTTATGTGAGGGCTGGGTCCTGTCTGTATCGGGTTCATGCTGCAGGATGGGCTGGGTGCAGTGTGTGTGGGTTGTTGAGGGGTGGTGGTAGGAGGACAAGGGGGAGAGACACCTTCCTGGCATGTTTCCTGGGTCCCAGGACCTACAAAGCCCCTTGTACTGGAGGAGGGCAGCTCTTCTCTCTGGTGCTGCTTCAGTTTCCAGAGGAAGAACACCATCTGCTTTGACCTGTGGACGTGCAAGTTGCCTTCCTGGCCCCATTCAGCACACTTTGCTTTGGGACTCGCTGTTTGCAAGGTGCCACGCTGAGCCTGAGCTGCTGGTAAAGGGGGAAGCATTAACTCTGCCCTTAATGAGCTCACTGCGTGGGGAGGGAGACAAGCGTGGAAACAAGTAATTACAGTACAGTCTGGTTGGGCTATGAGGGAGTGCCGCCTTGAGGGCAGAGACTGGCCCTAGTCACCTTTTAGCCGGGGAAGAGAAGGAACATGTGTTGAGAATTTCATTGTAGTGAGATGTGAAGGACGGTGGGACTTCCAGGAAGAGGGAAATGTCTCCCCAAAGCTGCAGTGTGTAGGAATGCTGTTTGAACGCTTGTGGCTGGTGGCAGGAGTGTGGAAAGGACCCAGACAGACTGCTGAGTGCCCCTTGAGGGTCCTTGAGGTGGAAGGTTGGATACTTTGTGTTAATTCCTCTTGGAAGTCTTCTGCGGGGACTGCCCTCAGGTTTCTGAACTGCTCAGCATCCGTGTCCCACCTTCTCAACAGTGTACGGTCCCTTGTCATTTTGCTTGGATCCTGGAACGTGTGGTGGTCCAAGGCTGTTGAATTTGGGGGAAAGGAGACCCTGATGAGGTTCACAGAATATAAGACCTTCTCACAAGCATCTAGGAGGTATGCGGGGTATAGGCGGATGTCCCCTGCTGCCTGTCAGCTTGGGATGCCCCGGGTGCCTTCTGAATGCTTTTTGGTGTGGAAGCGTGAGGATGGAGTTGTCGGCTGGCTCTGACCCATTTCCCTCGGACGTCGCTGGGTGCCTTGGTTAGTCTGGTTTTGCTCCATCTGCAAGGAGCATCTTTTCTTCTGCTGCTCCTGCTGCTTCTCCTCGGCTTCCTCCTCCCTGCTATTGCCGTTGACACAGACTTCCGCTGCCAAAGCTAATTGTGAGGCCTGATCAGTGAATGAAGGCAAAGGCAGTTCCCATGACAACCGCAAAGAGTTTCAAATATAGGGGATGATGTGTGTGATGGGCGGCAATTACTTGGGTGGAAATTGATGCGTGGACACCAGGGACTTCAAACATAGGCTCTGAAGGTGGAGGGGGTGTTGGGGTTTTTTTTTGGCAGGATCCTTTGTGTGATGGAGCGGGAAGGAGGTCACAGACTTCCCTCATAGTTGATTCCAAGTGCCTTCAGCGCATGAACATTGGGCAAAACCCCACAAGGGCTTTGGAGAAGCACGACTCCAGTCGTCCTGGTTGGGGATGCAGGACACACAGAGAGACAGATAGCAGTATCAGGTGGCAAAAGAGAAACGTTAGAAGTGCTGCGGGCTGGCAGAGCACTGGGGTAACTAGAGAAGGCTTCCTGGAGGAAGCAGGGCTTGAACTGAGCTTTGAAGTAAAGCCCTGTGGAGAGTGACCTCATTCAGGACACAGCCATGGTGAGGGAGGATGAGAAGCCCGTCTCCCTCTACCCTCTGCCGGCTCTCGAAGAGGTAGGTGGATATGAAAATTGTAGAACTACACAGAGCAGACCTGACTGTACCATGCAAGGGAAGGGGTGGTGATAACTCTGTCCAGTCACTTTCTGGCTTGTGTGACCTTGGACAAGGTGCTCTCTCTATCCCAATTTCTCCATCCGTAAAATGGGCATGAATAGTTGCTCTCTCATTGGTTCTGATAAGGTAGGGTATATCATGCTGCAGGTGTGGGGCCTGACATGGGGTTGGTGCTTGGTTGATGCTCTTGCAAATGCCCTTTGATTGTGTCTGGATGTGTCTGCATTCCCTGGTCTTCGTATAACTGTGTGACATCTGACCTGTGGGTGTCTGTGTTCCTGAGGTTCTTGGTGTTGGGGCATTTTGTGCGTCCTAAAAGTGGGTGAATCCATTCACCTGTTAGTAGGGAGGGCCGTGACCCCATTCCTCCTGCTGGGAGTGCAGTGGAGACTGGGGGTCATGATGGAAGGGGTCCATGCAGAGGAGTCCCAGGTACCTCTGAGTTGATCACTGTGAAGCCTGAAATGTAGAAAAAGGGACAGATAGAAATGAGAAGGTCAGGTGGAGGAGAGTGTCCTGTCTGGAGGCTGAGTGGCCCTGGCATGCGCCTGTGTGACTCCTTCAAGCCCTGGTGTTCCAGGTGCCTCAGAAGAGGGAACAAGGCCAGGGTGAGATGAGGACAGTAAAGTAGGTGGACTGCCTTGGGGACCTGGGGGTAGCTGAGGCTGCTGGAGGGCAGGGTGGGGTTGGCAGGGCTCAGTTAGCATGGTGAGATGGGTTGAGCAGGGATGGGGGGTGGAAACTTGGCTCTGTGGCTCCTGCGGTCTGGTAAGGATGTGTGCTGGCTGAACAAGTCTGGGACCTGGCTACAGTTCAGACATGGCAAGTCCTGCCCTTCCAGGAGCAGGTGTCCCCTGAATCAATCCTTAGGGACCTCAGAGAGAAGGCCAACCAAGAGAGTGGCCTCCACATCTCAGTGTCTGGCCCCTGCTTCTCCACCCTCCTTGTGTAGAAACTCAGCTCAGCACATTCCAGCTCTGCAGAGCCTAGTGAAGTGGGGAAGACAGGGCCCCTGCCCACGTGGGGAGGACTGCCATATAAATAAATAACTGTACTTCACTGTGACTGGTGCTCTGGAAGAGGCACTGCAAGGCTGTGAGGACTGGGGGAGGGGGAGTGATGCTTGGTGTTGGCGATCTGAGAAATGCAGAGGGGAGGCAATGTTTGGATTAAGCCTTGTACCACATTAGCTTGCCAGGTGGGGGAGGTGGAAGAGGGATCCAGTCAGAAGGAACTGCATCAGGAAGTCTCTGAGGCAGGAAAGCATTACTGTTCTCAGATCCACAGCCTTAAAGGGAAGTGGTCAAGTTCAAGTGACTTCAGTCTTTTTTGCATCTTCCTAGGGTTGGCAGAGAGAGAGCTTAGAAAATTGGAATGAGAAGGGCCTAGATTTGAATTCCAGTCTACCACTCACTAGTTGTGTTGACAGACAAGTAACATCTCTAAGTCCCTGTGTTTCCCTGTGAGAGATGAGGTTGTTTGCAGAGTAAGTCAAATGGGATGATCCTACAGTGTGATTGGTGCAGGGCCTGGTACTAGCAGGGGCTTGATAGATGGTGGCAGCCCAACAGCAACAGGACTAAGTTTTAGTGCAGTGTTCATCTCTCATCCAGCAGCAGACTGTGTGTGGGGTAGGTGGGTGAGCCGGGGCTTCAGGGACTGGGATAAAGGAGGGACTGGGTCAAAGTAGGAGTAGAGGGGTGCAAAAGCCCAGTTGTTCACCTTGAGCCGTGGTTTAAGGCACTGTTCCTTTGTCACCTGCCTCTCCTCACTGCCCTGGGAGGAGCCCAGTAGGACTACCCTTTGTCCCCAGGGGGAGGCAGGTGTGGGCCCTGGTGCCTCCTGCAGTCTCTCGGAAGGCAGCTCATCCTGTTGAGTAACCCCGTGGGGCCCTGGGAGGAGTGGGCAGTAGAAGGAATCACAGGCTTCAGGGCTCTCACACATCCTAACTACTCGTATGAGTCATGTCTCCTCTGGCCTCGGCTTATTCATCTGTGAGAATGAGAAGTAGCACCCAGTGAGCTCTCCCCAAAATTGAGTGGTAGTAGCTAGCAGCACCCACAGTGTGGCAGACACTGTGCTGCATTTCTTCACAGGAATCCTCACAACCTTACGGAGTAGCTGCTATGTGTAGTTCGATTTTACAGATGAGCAAAGAGAGGCTAAGAGAGGTAAGTGACAACCAGCCGGGCAGTCCTGGGGCCTGCAGTTGGTGTGTGTGGAAGTCACCTTCCTGGGACATGGGAGCTGTGGCTGTTCAGCTACTGGGAGGGATTGGGCCAGAGAAGGATATGCCAGGTAGGCCAGGCGTTCAGTCCAGGAGTGGATCTCAGCCTTCCTTTCCCCCTCTCTGTTCGTCCTCATCCTGCCCTTCCTTCAGTCTCCCTGGTGTTGCAGCCTTCAAAGACTCAGAGTCTGGAAAGCGGAAGGCCAGAGAGCTCTTGGGGTCTCCTCTGCCTTTCCTGGAGATAGGAAGCCCTGAGGTCTGGGGGGGCCTTGGGGTACCCCCTGTTGTAGCCTCTCCAAGAGAGGAGAAGGCATTGCGGGGGGAGGTGTGGGGAGGCTGTCTTGGGTGGGGTACGGGTGGGGTGCGTTCAGGCACCAGGGGTAGTGATCCGAGAGCGAGGGTTGCTGTTTGCGGATCTGGGGAGTGGGGAGGGCAAAGCCGACCTGGTGAGGCTTTCAGCCGGGAGATGCCGGCTCCTAGAAGCAGCCTGTTTTCTGCGGTGGGCGCTGGAGGGAGGGAGGAACAGAACTGCATAATGGTTAAGAGTATGGTTTTTAGAGCCAGACAGACCTGGCTTGGAGTCCCAGGTCTTCTGCTGTTTTCTAGCCATGTCACCTTGGGTAATTTGCATTACTTGTCTTCTTATCTGCAAAATGGGATGAGCGTTTTGTCGCCTAGGCTTTTTCTTTTTTTCCTTCTTTCGGAATTGAAGGGGCTCTTGAGCCTCCTGCTCTTATCACTGGGCCTGGTACAGTCCTAGCTGCCAGCCAGGATGATGCTGGCTGGGGTTAGAAAGCGGCGGAGCGGGAATGCCACCAGCGTCTGCCCTACCCAGAGGCGCAGTCTGTCATCTTTGACCCTGGAGGTGCAGAGGACGCCTTCTGGGCATTTCCCTCGGGGTCCCTGCAGGAGGAGGCGGGGGTGCCCGGGATCTCCCGGAGCGGCGGCGGGCCTGGGAAGCAGCCAGCGCTGCTCGGCTGCACCCTCGGCGGTGGCCCCCGCCTCCGGGCTGGGCAGGTCCGCGGGCGGGGGCAGGGCTGGCCGCGGGGGCCGGCGGCGATTGGCTGGCGAGCGCGCCGCCCCTCGCACACCAGCCGCTCGGGCGGGGAGGGGAGCGCAGCCGGCAGCTGGCCGCCGCCTCCTCTGCAGTGCCTCCCTCCGTGCGCTCCCTCCGGCGGGGATAATGGGAGGCCCGCCGGCCGATGCACCAGAGGAGGCCGGCCGAGGTAGGGGCGCGGGGCGAGGTAGGGGCGCGGGCGAGGAGCGCCGGGCAGGCCGGACGCTGGCAGGAGGGGCAGTGTCCTCTTGGGTGTCAGCAGGGTTCGAAACGAAAACAAAAACACAGTGGAAGGCGAAGGAGGCAGCTGGAGGCAGGAAGATGGTCCCTGCTGGCCTTTCTTTCCCAGGCCCCCTCCCCTCCCGCGCTCCTCCTGCCCCTTCGGTGGTGCTGGGGGGTGCAGCAGAAGGACTTTGCTTCTTTCCTGGTACCAGCCTGGCTCATCCGTCTCTCTGGCTTCTTTTGCAGGTGGAAATAAAGGCTGGTGAAGGAGCTGGGCCTTGGGGACAAGAAGCTGCTGTCAAGGTACCTTGTGTGTGGTGTGTGTGTGTGTGTGTGTGTGTGTGTGTAGTGGCGGCGGTGAAGTGTTTGACTGGATTGGATAAAAATAAAGGGTCTCCTGGTGATCCCTTAATCTCCCACTGTGTGTATAGCAGCAGCTGAGGGGGAGGGGCGGCGGGGGTGTGGGCGGCCAATGAATTCTCAGGCCTGTGTGGGTTTTGTTTGGATTCTTTTTGCTTTCTCAGCTGGATGGTTTGGGTACAGTTGGGGTTTGGTTTGTTGAACTGGTTTTTTTTTTTTTTTTAAAGACATGTAACCCACTCCCCACCCTGCCTCTGGAAATCTCTCGAGAATGTCCCTGGCACTGTTGGTTTGCATCCAGTCTGCAGAAATCCTTGGGGGGGGTAAAGGGGGAGGGAGAATTGTGCTCCTGAGTCTGAAGCTGATAGGGTGTCATTAGTCATGCTGCTGTCACCATGGAGATGGCTGGAGAGGAGAGGAGGTGGTGGGGGTGAGGATATTTTGGGTAGGGTGGGGGCTGATGCAACATCGTGACTGGGAATCCGTTGGGTGTCTGCTGTTACTCTGTGCAGCTTGGTGTCTGGGGGACTGGGAAGGGAGTGTTCCCAGGTGTGTGGGAAGCAGAGAAGGGGGCACTGAGCTTCTCAGTGTGGTTGTCTGGGGGTGGGGACTGGGTTATTTGGGGCAGGGAAGGGGGAGAGTCTAGTGGAGTTTTGGCTATTACTAGGAAACCACAGATATTCCTTTTAGGTTGGCAAGGACTTGATCAGTAGGTTTCCTTGGGCTTTGCCCCTCTTTTCAGGGCTGGAGACCTGCTGTGAGTTTGGGATTACTCAGCAGTATCCTCTGCTGGCCCAGGGTGGAGAAAACAGGGTGGGAGGCAGCTCTATGTGGCTGCCTCTCAAGTCCAAGAGCAGAGAGGCTGGGAAGGAGTGCGGGGACAGGAACAGGTGGGCAGGCCATGTGGGACTTTTCCTAGCAAGGAGGAAGCCTGTTCCTGCCCCTGCCTCAGCCCCAGCTGCTCCCCCCCCCCCAGGAGTCTTTGGGGAGCTGGGGAGCCTGGTTGCTGGGTAGCAGGTGGGTGAGGTGCTAGTGTCCCCAGATGCTCTTAGTCTTTCCTCCCGCCTGGAAATCCTCCTCCCGCCTCCTGGGAAAGCTGTGGGAAGCTCTGTGGAGGTGCTGGAAGTGGCATCCTGCCACCTCACTGGCTGGGCGGGGACGCTGGCAGGGAGGGCTCTTCTTCCTCATGTGGGATGCAGAGTGGATCAGGAGGAGGCCTGGGTAAGTTCCCTGACCTTGTCCCAAGGAATGTGAATTTTATTTTTGGAGTAGCTTCCTGGGAGGAGAATAGCCAGGGGGTATCGACTCCCCTGGGGCACTGGGCGTGCTTTGAGACTGGGAGTGGTGGGTGCTCGCGCTGAGAGGAGGCTGCGGGAGGCCCCGAGGCAAGCAAGCAGAGGATGGTTGATGCTGGCGGTGCCTTGGGTGGGGTGGAGAAAGCCGTGAGCTCAGCACACACCAGCTCTCACTCCACACTCTTTTCCATGCTGCTCTATGGAGCAGAACCCCCAGGTTCCACCTCCACTTCCTCCCCTGGCCTCCCACTGCTGACTAGAGAAGTTGTAATCACACTAGGAGTGTGGCGTTGTGGGCCTTGGGCACGGAAACTGTGGAGTAGACCTGTTCCGCCCCACTCCCTGGGGAAAGAAGGCCAAGGGGATGAGGACAGATGGGCTCTGGAAGGGGGCAGTCCCCTCCCTCTGTATCTGCAGCCTTGTCAGCCAGAGCTTCCCTCTCTGCTGGGAGAAAGGACGGCTGGCAGGTTTGTTTACTCCCGAAAGCACCCCGTCCTGCTGTAGTGATGGCTTTCCCTGGCAGACCTGCTTCTCTTCAGCTCTTTCCAAGTGTGTTCTCTGCGTCTCCCTGCCTGCATTCTGCTGGCCCAGGATGGAGGCCAGTTTTCTGCAGTCCCGATGGAGGCTTCCAGCCTGATACCCTAGCCTAGCCCTTACTGTTGTGGGTGGGCATGTGGCAGGGGCTCTTTGAAAATCTGGATGGAGCTCTTCTCCTAACAAGCCTTCCGCCTACCCTTTTCTCAGAGTAGGGCCTGTGCCGGCTGAGTTTTTAAAGCTCTGAGGTTGTGTCTGTGCTTGTTTTTATTGTTCAGTTGTCTGAGAATCATAGCTTCCTCTCGGCCTGGTTTAGGCACTGCCAGCAAACACTCAAGTCTCAGTCCTCTGTTCCTGGTGCCACCTTCCCCCCACATGGGGTTCTCTTGGGTGGCCAGATGGCTGCAGTGTCCCACGTACCCCCTGGATGAGGCAGTTTTGCCAGATCCTCTTTCGTTATCAGGTTGTGGTGTAAGAAGACGTATCTGGTGTATGAGCTTGTTCTGAGATCAGGCCAACACTCTGGGACACAGGATAAAGAGGGTGTCATAGTCTGGGTTCTCACAAAGATGGGTGCAGGATGAGTAAGCCCTACGGCTGAATGGTGTCCAGTAGGCAGTGGGAATAGGCACATCTACCATGTGCTGAGTCCTGCCAAGATTTCAAGAATATCTGTGATCTCTGAGTGTACATAGTGCCTAGCACATAGAGTTGAGCTTGATAAATGCAAGTTGACACTTTACTGTCTAGTGTGTTCCATGTTGACCCCATCATATCCCAAGGAAATGCTAAAGCAGACACTGCTGCTGCCCTCCTCCTCCTTGGCAGCCTGGACCAGAGTGAGTGCTCAGTGCCAAGAGCACCAGGCCGCCCTGCTTTCGGGCTCCCACGCGGCTCCCACGCTCTGCCCCATGGGAACCCTCAACTGGCTGAGGATGATGGGAAACTATTTTGGGACTGTGCCCAGGATCTCTGCCTTCTGTCTCTCCTTTTGGCCACTGCAGAAATGCCTTGTTGTCAAGTATCTATGATCTTCTACTTTCTAAGCACCGTGGGTCACTCCTACTAGTTCTTTCTTGCCTGCCCTTTCTACTCTCCAGCTCTTTATGGGAGTTCAGGGAGAATCCCTTCTCGCTTAGGTGTGTCTAAGCAGCAGTGAACTTGGGAGATATGGAAGCAGATGAGCATATCAAGTTAGAGCAGGAAAGGAACCCAGCTAAGGGTTTCCAGATTTGAGTTTGGGGATGGAGAGAAAGAAGGGGCTCCTCCCCTCCGTGATGATAATGAGATTGAACCTCAGATCTTGAGTGAATCTCAGCTCTGCTTCCTTGGCAATCCTCCCTCCCCCCCCTCCCCCGCACCTGCCCACTCTGCGCCCCCACACCTCAATTGTCATAGTAGAGAGAGGGAAAGAGCTATGCAAGAGCTATGCAAGATACAAATGTGGGTGAGCCCAGGGGAGAGTCTTCCTGCTCTCAGGGACCACCTTCTTGCTGGGCCCAGTGAGGTGCTGGGAAGTAGGCTCTGTGGTCTTGCCAAGCTCCCTGGTATACCTGGAAGCTGTAGCAGCAAATGGTTTGCCTAGCTGGGGGCAAGGACAGGGACTGTGGGGAGGGGCTTTGGTTTGGCTCAGCTTTTGGGTCACCTAATCCTCTTAAGTCCTCCCTTTCCTACCCCTGACCTCTTGGGCTTTTGGCCTCATTTCCTCTCATACCCAGCATCTGGCAGGCAGTTAGCTGAGGTCTCAGCTTCTCTGCAGCTTCTGAGAAAGATCTGGATTAGTTTAGGAAGCCTTTAGGCAAACAGGGAGCAGGGATGGCTTGGACGATTAAAATCTGTAGATTATCTGCTATCCAGGACTGTGACCCCATCTCCATTCACTTTATCTCTTTTTCTTCCTCTTTCTACATTGAGCATTTGCCATATTCCAGGTACAGTAATAGGTCTGGAAAATAGAAAAATCATTATTATTTGATTCTTACAACAACCATTGAAGTAAAAGACACCTAAAAAATTGTAACTGTAAATGGGAAAAACCATCATTGGCAGTTTTTTGTTTCTTATGTGTTGAAGACACTTTTGATCTTAACTTTGTGTTTGGGGCTGTGGACTTGCATACGCAGACAAAATACCTCACCCCACATGCACCCAGCTCTTCACATTTGCTTTCTCATGGGCTCAGCAAACCTCAAGGGACTTTGAAGGAAGAATCAGTGTGCCAACTTTGTTTTCAGTAAATGTTTCTGGAATCTAGGGATGATAGGTTAGGGTAGTGGGGTCAGCAATGGACTAGCGGGGAGGCCGAGGCCAATGGATTGTTTTAGCTCAGGAGTTCAAGACAGCCTGAGCAAGAGTTGAGACCCCATCTCTACTAAAAATAGAAAGAAATTAATTGGCCAACTAAAAAAAAAAAAGAAAGAAAAAGAAATGGACTAGTGGGGGAAAGAACTTAGTTTTGAATGGAAAGTGTTGGCTTTAAGATTCAGATAACAGTATTTCTGGAAAGAAATACTGTTCCTGGGCAGTTCACCTTGGACCTGAAATTGGCTTTATGGTTCCTGCAGCCCTGATTTCTTCAGGGGGTTCCAGTGAGATCCACTGGCTAAAAGAAGTGCGGTTGTCAGTTTCTCTCCTCCGTTTCTTACTCTTACTCCTCCGTTTCTTACCCTGCTCTTGGGTCATTAGCAGTGGGGAGACCACTTAGTGTCTATGGACTTGTGGGACTTTGGTTTTCTCTGTAAAGTGAAGGTGTTGCCTTTCATGTTAGTTTTTCTCAAACTAAATCTGGGTAAGGACCTGTTTTTTGTTTCTTGGGATGTGTGTGTTTGTGTGGGTTTGTTTTTTTTTCTTGATATGCAAAACTAAAACAATCCTGCTCTGTACAGCTGGTTTGCAGCTTACAACACATGCAGCTCACCTTGGGAATTCAGCACCATTCGCACTGGCTGGTCTCTGAGCCATTCAGTGAGGCCAGTTGAGTGGCCATGCCCTTGGATGGCATGGTAGCTTTAAATTGCTATAACGTTTTCTAAAGCCTTCCTCTTTTTCCTGTATTTATGTTGCGGTGGACCAGTGATAAACAGTTTATGGGCCATACCCTGAACAGCACCGCTT